GGGGGGATGTTAGAGACCGCATGCAATGGTCTGGCCAGGCACACCCTTTCCCAGGAGGTGTGTTTTTCTTCAGGAACATGGAAAGACTCCTGTTGGGGAAAGGTGTAAGAAGACATACCAATTGCCACTTCTGGGGGAGGGGGGAATTATCTTCATGCACTTGCAGCTTTACTGATTTATCCCTGCTGGGTTCCAGGATGGGTACAAAGGATGGGGGCAGACAAGTGATTTGGCTGCTGGTGATAAGGAATGAGTGACAACAGATGGGCCTCAGTGAGATGACTCTGATAAGAGTCAGACATCGCCACACCCAGCCTGCAAAGTGGACATGGCATCCGATCAGTCAAGCAACTCTCTTGGAAGAGTGCACATATCACCTATACCTCTTCATTTGTTTGTTCAGTCATTCATTCATTCACTCAATGAATAATGATTGAGTGTTAATACCTTCTAAGCATAGAGTTGCTGTAGTGCACTGAACAGCCTCCAATTCCTGTCCTTTGTAGCCTTCATTCTACATGCTCTACATTCTCAGTATAGAGTAGAACTATTGGATCATTTTCTAAATGTCTTTTCATGCCTGTTAACTTCTACTTACTCATGAGGCTGAGATCTGAGGATCACAGTTCAAAGCCAGCCCCATCAGAAAGGTCTGCAAGATGTTTCCTCTGTCTCCAATTAATCAGGAAAGAGCAGGAAGGAGGTGTAGTATGAGGAGTAGAGGTCTAGCTATGAGCAAGAAAGCCGAGTGAGAGCACAGGCCCCGAGTTCAAGCACAAGTACTGGCATGAAACAACCAAAAACATTCAATGACAAACTATTTCATGCCTAGGATAGATTCAGTGAAGATAATGATGATGTAACAGTAATATAATGATAATGAAGGAAAATCACAAGTACTGATAAGGATGTATAAATTAACTTATATGTAGTGGTAACGTAAAAATGATGAAGTGTCTTAAAGCAGGATGGCAGAGTTAAGGTTTGGTTAGCAAGTACAAGACCCTGGGCTCAATACCCAGCATTGCCAAAAAACAAATAGACCACACACACACACACACACACACACACACACCACAATAAAACCAAAATGATCTGGCTGGCAGTTTAATAAATTCAGCAGTTAATTACCATATAACCCAACAATTCTATTATGCATATCCAAAAGAACATTTAAGAGGATATTCAAAGAAAAATTTGTAATAAAAATGTTCATAGTAGCACTATTTAAGTATAGCTATCAGGTGGAAACTTTGCAAATGTGCCTCCATTGAAGGATGGATAAATGAAGCGTACTGTGTCCAAACAATGGAATATTACTCAGTGGTAAGAGGGAACAGAGTACTCATACAAGCTACAACACAGATTATTTAAGATTATGCTAAGTAAAAGGGATTACACATAATGGCCATATGCTGGAAAATTATATAGGAAAGATCCACAAGAGGTAATAGATAGACACAGAAAGTGGATTAGGGCTCATAGGGGCCAGATAAAGGCCAGGAATAGGGAGTACTTTTTGTGATGATGATCATGTTCTGGAACTAGATAAAGGCAATGGTTGTACAGTGTTGTAAATACATACCAGATGCCTCTGAACTGTACATTCCAAAATGGTTAAGAGGGTGAATATGCGATGTGTATTCTATCACAATATAATCATGCAAGTAGTTGAGGGCTGTAGGGGAATGTGAGGCCTTCCTTATTGGAGAAGGCTGGTTTTTCAGCACAGGTAAAATGGAATTTGAATTCTCAACAAAGGATAGAGTGATTTGCATGAGGATGAACATCTGAGTACCATGACTTATGTAGCAAATGGAGTTAGGTAGAATTACACAGGAATGTCTGCATGTATTCTACAGTTTTGAGCCATACAAGACTAGATTTAAAGCATGCTCACAGGCTACAGCTCCCCCAACTTTTGAAAATACTATTTGGGATCACACACAGCTCATTAATTTTCCTACCATTTTTAAAAATATAAATACAGAGTTTCTATGGAGAAGAGAAACAAGGGCATGCACAACCTATCTTATTTTTCTATATTCAAAGTGAACCTATAGATCATCCCTTTAGGAACTAAGTACGTATAATTTACCTTTGATTTACTACAGCATTAACATATGACCTGAGACACAAGGTGTGTAATATAGGGACTGTTCACATGGGTAGGAAAAGGTGACAGTGTTTTCAGTTGGAGGCTCAGTTGACAGCCAGGCAGTCACAGAGGAGATTGTCAGCAAGACAGGTCATGGGCTGAGTGATGAAGCCCAGCCCCACGTGCGGGAGTGGTAGGTGATTGTATTTTAAACTGCATGTTGTAGTTTTCTGCCAAGGAAAGGCTAGAAGGTTAAAAGGGACCATCTTTTGAGTGTTCTGTTCTTAGCCACTTTAAACTCTGCAGTTTTTTTTTTCAGGTCTAAGATCATCTCTTTTTTTCAAGTATCTGCTAGAAACTAAACACATCCTGCTGTGTTACCCACCCCTCAGTCTCTCCATGGGGGATGTTTGGACAACTGCTACTGGCAGCTTCTCCAAATGCAGACATCTAAACTGGGAAGAGGCCTCATCTCTCGCTGGCAACCAGAGTCCCCACTTAGCAGCCCATTTTATTCACTGTGAAAAACTGCTTTGGTTTGCTTTAGGTCAAGGCACATACTGCCAAGGGAGAAATTAAATTTGGCTATTCCCCTACAGCAAAGAAAGTTGCCTTTCTGATTTCTAAGAAGGTTTTTATTGGTTTTCATTAATGAATGTTTACCTGGTAACTTTTGGTGTTCATAATACAATGTAGCAGAATAAATTACAGAATAAAATTGAGGTGACAGCCAGAAATTGAGGGCTATTCTCAAAAACATATATCATTTTGAAGACTCATAGTTACCTACTCTTGTTATAATAATAATAATAATAATAATAAAGAGAGTAAGCATACATCTTAAATCTCTTCTGGTTATGGCCGGAAAATTAAATCTGAAAACATGGTTAGTTTAGATTATTTTTGAGCTAATATGCTGGAAGTTTTTGAGACAGGAAAACTTCTTTTCAAATCAGTATTTGGTTGCTATTATTTCTAGTAGAGGTTAGACAAATCCTTTAACTGCCATGAAAGATATTAAACTTTATCTCCTTCTTCTGTTTCTGCCACTACTAGGGTTTGAACTCAGAGCTTTATACTTGATGGGCTGGTGCTCTACTGCTTGACCCATGCCAGAAGCCATTGTTGCTCTGTTATTTTAGAGATAAGGTCTTGTGTCTTATCTGGGCTTGCCTAGACCATGATCCTCCTATTTATATATTCCACTGGGCTAGGATCACCAGATGTGAACTACCTTGCCCATTTGTTTTTTCTGTTGAGATGGAAGAGGGAAGTCTTGTTAACTCTTGTGCTTTAGGCTAGCCTAGAAACATGAGATTCCTGATTTTTGCCTACTGATTAGCTAGAATTACAGGCATGAGATACTGCTTCTAGTACTTCGTATTGGATTTTTCCTGGAGATCTGGACCATCAGAAGTTCCAGATTTTATTTGGTAAACTTTCAACTATGCCTCTCTACCTTAAGCACCTCTTCATGATTTCAGAACACTTAATTCGATGCCTTCTGTTGCATGTTTCCTCAGACTTTGTTGCTCTTCCATTTTATTTTGTTTACCATGTTTCAACTCTTCTTTCTCCATTATAAGAAGAGAAGCTCAGGATTTACAACCAGACCTAGTTAAAATCCTTAACCTATCAATAATCATTGTATGAGCTTCTGTAATCTTCTTAAGTGTTTGTGTCTCAAGTTCTTCTTTTGCAAAAAAAAAAATGGAGAGATAATTGTAGATTTGTTAAAGGATAATGTGAAATTTTCAGATAGATAGAAGGACAGATAGGCAAATGACAGATAAGCAGAAGATATTGTATAGAGCAGAACACTCAGTACGAGTCCCATAACTAGAACTCAGAGCCAGAAGGCTCATCATATTAGAACTTCCTCTGTCCCCTACCCTAATTTCCTCAGTTGGTGCCAAATATCTTGTGCAGTATCTTTGTATGCAATCTAGCTATGCTCTTTTTAAACAACAGTATCTTGCTCTTTAAATAGCACAAATAATCTGTTTACCTCTGGGAACCCTTGCTTTTTATGATGTTTATTTTGGACCATTGCTATGCTATTATTTTGAAATGGAACAAGGATTACAAACATGGAACAACTGACCACCAATGATATTCCTTAAATATGTCAAAAGAGACCATATAAAATGAATTATGGTTTAAGTTGGTGCTCCAAAACAAGCTACAAACAAATTGGTATAGAAGAACAATTTTGTACACATTTTTCTGCACGGAAAACTTTTAAAAAGAATTACTGGATCAGCTAAGACCATTGGAATGTCAATGTCTAATAAATAAAGAGCAGTCCATTTTTATTGGTCTGTTAGCAATATATATATTTCATATATATACGAAAGTAAAATATAATTTGGAGAATTTATTTTAGCTTTAAGATCTTTATTAAAACTAAATTCCACTATTCCTACTTTTATACTGTTTTGAATTTTTCAGTGGTTAACATGTTTCAGTAAAAGGTGGAAAGTTTTGCTTTACACATTACAACAGAAAGGAGTCAAAAGACTTCCTAAAAATGCAAAGAATGTCTGAAACCAACCTTAATAAAAATGAAAATAGACTTAGAATATGTGTAAGAAGCTGTTTCTTTTTGGAAACAGCTATTTTACCTTAAATCATCAAGATCAAATTTTGTAAGTTTTGGAATTCTTACAGCTTCTGACTGAGGGTGTAAAATAAAATCATGAAATGAATAAAAGATATGACAAGCAAGAGCAATTAAAAAACATTTGGGATCTTTTGCCTATAAGAAATTATTTAGGTACAAGTAAATAGACGAATAATTGCTCATATACCTTTTTTAGGGTGTTGAAATTCTTCTGTGAGAATAAAGCCAATCAAATAAAAATTATTTGTTTTGTAAGCAATCATCAAACTTCTATAAAAAGTGTTCACTTTGGCAACACATATATTAAAATTGGAACGATACAGAAAAGTTAGCATGGACCTTGAGGAAGGATGGCCCACAAATTCATGAAGTATTGTGTATTTTAAAAACCAAAACAAACAAACTTCTATAAAAATTAGTGAAGGCCTTGGTTGTTGAAGCTTTTAAACTAAAGCAGAGACTGTTTTTTGGTGGATCAGTTATCTGTGCATAGATTGTAGTCTTCCTGACTAGAAGAAGTTGACCATAAAATGCCTGCTCATGAAACTTTATTCTTTTTGGGGGGTATGTGTTTTGTTTTGTTTTGTTTCTTGGATGTGAGGAGATGAGATTCTTTGCAGAGTGAGAACAAATGGTGCAGACTCCTTTGTTTATGAAGATCTTGTCGAGCAGCATCTGACAGCAACAAATGCCTGGGATATTAATTCAGAAAAATATTCATAGTTGTTTATGAGCAAGGACAGGCTGAGACAGGTTTAAACACGCGTGAATCCCTGTCCACTTGGCTGTGTAAGAGAGCTTAGAGAGGTGGTCAAAGGGTCCATTCTATTTTGAGAAGGTTCTGATTTGTTTTTCCTGTACTTCCCACTTCCTTCCTCCAAAAACAACTTCCTCAAAAACCATTCACTTTCCTTTTTAGGAGGAACGCACACAGTTAAGGCTAGCTTTGGGCAATAGCTACAAGAGAGAAAGTCTACAGATTCTCTGTAGCTACTACTCCCAAGTCCAACAAGCTACTCATCCTACAACAGTTCTCTGAATCAAGTAAGTTAACTGACAAGGACACAAAGAGTAACAGAGTGGTAACACTGTTCACAACACATTTTTTTATATATCTATATATAGATAGATATAGATAGATAGATAGATTGATATATCACCATCAAACCCCTTTGTGCAACTAATAGATGCTAGTAAAGAATATATGCCAATAAAGAAAAATATATGCAGAAAATTAGAAGCTTCTTTATGAATTTTGTTGGTACTGAATAAAAGAGATCAGTTCTTGGATTAGGGGCTGAAGCCACTTTTAATTTTCTAGGTTTTCAATGAGTTTTCCTATCTATACTAGGAAATGAAAGGCCAGCTCAAAGAATTCTTGTAGGACCACTTCAGGGCAACTGATTAAAGCCTATTGCACACAGCGGAAATGTCTGTTCCTCCTATATCCTAGTGCAGTCTTAAGCAAAGGTGGGGGTTCTGCTCTTTTAGAAAGAACTATACCTTCTAAAAGTGGCTCTTGACTGAGAGCAAATTTCCCTTGGATTGCTGAAGTAGCCCCCAAATACCTTCAAGAGCCTTCATTCTTAAAGCTCTTTAACCTATGTGATCATCACATTTATGTTTGGAAATTCTCCAGTTCAGTCAGGAGATTTGTCAGAGTTCAAGGAAAACAATGTGAAAAACCTTCTGGCACCTACAACCAGAGAGGACAAACATCTCCCTTGCTCCCTTCTCCCTGTGTAGGTATTTCCAATTTACCACTGTGGAACAAAGTAGAACACTTCCAAAATAGATATTTTCTTTTCCAAAAGCTGATCAACCCATTCAAATGTGACTCTGTTTACTGATATAGCTTTGGGTTTATATTTTGAATTTTCTGTAGTAATTTCACATATGCTTTCTGAATAAAGAATATTCAAAGTAGTATTTCAGGTGGAGACATGTGATAATGAAGGTCATAAGCAATTACATATGTCATTGATATTAATGGGCACTGGCAGCTGGACTAAATTGATGTAGCATTTATCTTTTTTCTAAGGTTGGCTACATAGTCAGGCTCAGAAATCAAACTAGAAGTGTGAACTTTCCTTCTGGGGGAAAGAGGGCTAATGGTCTGTCCCTATTTGTTTTCTGCTCAAGGATAGTGCTCTACCACTTCAGCCATAGCTTCTCCTCTAGCTTTTTGGTGGTCAATTGGAGATAAGAGTCTCACAGACTTTCCTCCCAGGCTGGGTTTGTGATCCTTAGATCACAGTTTCCTGAGTAGCTAGGATTACAGATGCTCAATAAACTTTTCTTTCCAGATATTTTTGGGGAGATACTAATGCATCTTCTGTAGTCGTAAAGATGCAGCAATTCTTCATTTTTCACAGTGATTTTCACCACAATATTCTGTGTTACCAGAACATGTGATTTGAATTGTTTTAGAAAACATTTTTATGCACATAGGGATTGGAGCAGATTCTGGTTTTCTGTTGCTCATACAACTGAGATACATGGACTCTAAATAGCCTTGAGAAATGCTTAGGAGTGTGGTCTAAAAAAATATTTTGGTCTACTTCTATGCATTGTTTTAGTATAGGTTTGGTTGGTTCTAAGCTTCCCTCAAGTTGTTCAATTAAAAGCATTCGGTTCAGAAGAAACTATGACCATGAACTAATATGGTGGTGGTGGGTTAATCTCCACTAACAACTGTGAGCATAAATTATAAACTGTTCATCATTATTCTGTATAGAGAGTGGAGGAAGAAGTGATGACTCAGCTTATTCTAAATTGTCTGTTCACTTTATTAATAATATTAATAAAGATGACATGTCATAGTAATACAGGTTATCTCAACTAATGATTAGCCAAAAGGAAATGTGTCAGTGGCTCATCTTTCTCACTTCTCTTGTTCAGATTCCAGAATTACAATTTTTATATCAGATTAGTTACTTAATATTATCAGAGATCATTCAGGAAACTCCTATGGATCTGAGAGACCAAGATAAAGAATCTTAGTAGATCTACTATCTGATGGAGCTGGGTGCAGAAAGCTTATGATTTTCCCAGCATCACATGGTAAGTTAATAACACAATATGCACTATTACTGGCATATAATAACTCGAGGCACAGGTTCAAGGCCATACGGAGTTCTTTAATGTCAATGTACCATTCTGGGAGGATATATTTATAGTGTACAAGACATGACAAAGATAGTTTTTTGTATGTCTAAGACCATGTAGTAATAACTCTGGTCAGTTTATTGTAACACTGGCAATTGTTTTAAATTTCATATCTCATACTAGCAGAAAATTATTTTAAAAATCATGTATTTAACTAGTTGATGTTTTGCATTAAATGACATAAACTTTGGCTTGAATATGTTGCCACTTATATAACCTGCCACTTATATAACCTTTTGTCCAAACTTAGTCTTCAGTATAACAACATAGCTTACTGAATGGCTTCCCCATCCTCTGGTATTCTCAGTTCCATTTTTACTAATAAATGGGATAATGGAGAAATTAGTATTTCCCAGAAATGTCTGTTAGGAAAATTGCAAGAGATTTTAGATAGGAGGGTAAATGACAAATCATATATGAATGTAAATAATGTTGGGGCAAAACTAAAGTGTGTACAGTGACTGAACTTACTAAGAAGCTCTTGTTCAGGTATTATTATGTTTGTTTGGGGGAGGGCATTTCATATTTGACAAAGAAGGTGTTTTGAACTTGCTTTATTTTCTCTTTATTGTAGTTTGTGACTCCTTTAAAAAGATTTCCTGGTTTTAAAAACAGGAAATACACAATTACTAGGGAACATCTAAATAAGATTAAAAGGGAAGAAATGTTGCAAAATTTGACAAAGGATTTGTATCCAGAACATGTAGAACATGTATAACTCAATTATAAAAAGATGGAAAAATCAATAAAAAATAGACAGGGAGTCAGGCTAGACATTCAAATGGTCAATAAATATAAAATAGTATAAATCAAGAAGATGCACAAATCAAAACCACAAATAGATCCTACTTTATATCTACTAAGATGACTTTAAGTGTGGGTGAGGCAGATTTTAATTTTTTTTTTTTTTGTCAGTGATGGGGCTTGAACTCAGGGCCTAAAAGCTGTTCCTGTGCTCTTTCACTCAAAGCTAGTGCTTTACCACTTTGGGTCACAGTGGCACTTCTGGTTTTATGGTGGTTAACTGGAAATAAGACTTTCACAGACTTTCCTGCCCCTGCTGGCATTGAGCCATCATCCTTAGATTTCAGCCTCCTGAGTAGCTGGGATTACAGGCCTGATCCACCAGCTCCTGGCTGTGGGTGAAGAAGTAGAGCCCTGGTATACTGCTGGTAAGAATGTAAAATATGGTGACTGCCTTTTAAAATAGTTCAGCAATCCCTTGGAACACAGAATTTACCCCATGATCCAGAAATTTCATCCTTAAGTATAGATTAAAGAACACTGAAATTGTATTTCCTATGCTCCTGGCATTATTACTCATACTAGGCACAAAGTAGAAACAACCCAAAATGCTCATCAGCTGATATGTAGATAAATGTAGTTCGTGGTAAAATGGAATATATTGTGGCAACGCAAAGAAAATATTGACATATGCAACAATGTTACGAACCTTTAAAACTTCTATCAAGTGAAAGAAGCCAGCTATTCTGTATGATTCCATTAACGTAAAATATCCACAATAGGCAAACACACAGAACTGAATAGTAGATTTGTGGCTGCCTCAGACCATGTTGGGGTGTGATTTAGGGATATGGAAAGTGTTGCTGTTGGGTTAAGGTTCTCTTTGGGGGGGTGATGAAAATACATGCCTCTGTGTGATGAGAATAAAAAAATGAATAGGATAATATATTACTCAGTAGTAAAGGAAGAGAAGGAACAGGTGGATGTAGAGGGAGAGGAAGAAAGAGAACTGAATTCTTCTCATTCAGGGATTGCCAGTTTCATATGACATTTCCTCTAGGAAAACAGGTGACTTTACCAGAATCTAGGAAGCTCTCCACCTCAGGACTGACCAAGAGAACCTGACTCTTTAAAAACTCATGTTAAATTTGAGAGTTCATTTCACTCAAATTGGTGACCTGCAGCTATCAAAAATGTTTACATCTTAGACCAGATGGATTAGGAAAATGAATTTGGCTCCATGTGGACCAGAGAACCTGATGGCCAAAAGCTTTGATGTTGTCAAACAACTAAGCAAATAACACGTTGGGTAAAAAGAAAACAGATGTACACACACCACCGACAAAGGCTTTGATCTCTACTGTGATGGTGGCTGCCTGCTCATGAAGGAGTAGGGGAACTTGTTTCTTTTCCTAATGAGCCTTTTCTACTTTATTAGGTTCACTGATTTCATGCACACCAAACAGGCGGGAA